CCGGAAAAAGGAACCCTAGTTAGCCCGGAACCCGAAGTTAACCCCTGATGATTAAGGGCTCTGGACGCCCGAGTATCCGGGTAACTCGGGTCCGGGGTAACTCGGGTTTGGATTCCCGAAAAAGGAACCCGAGTTAGCCCTGACCCGAGTTACCCCTGATGATTCGGGGCTCTGGACGCCCGAGTTATCCGGGGTAACTCGGGTCCGGGGTAACTCGGGTTTGGATTCCCGAAAAAGGAACCCGAGTTCAGCCCTGACCCGAGTTACCCCTGATGATTCGGGGCTCTGGACGCCCGAGTTATCCGGGGTAACTCGGGTCCGGGGTAACTCGGGTTTGGATTCCCGAAAAAGGAACCCGAGTTAGCCCTGACCCGAGTTACCCCTGATGATTCGGGGCTCTGGACGCCCGAGTTATCCGGGGTAACTCGGGTCCGGGTAACTCGGGTTTGGATTCCCGAAAAAGGAACCCGAGTTAGCCCTGACCCGAGTTACCCCTGATGATTCGGGGCTCTGGACGCCCGAGTTATCCGGGGTAACTCGGGTCCGGGGTAACTCGGGTTTGGATTCCCGAAAAAGGAACCCGAGTTAGCCCTGACCCGAGTTACCCCTGATGATTCGGGGCTCTGATGCTGCGCTATTGCCGAAGACATCTTGAAATAATTTGTTGTCACGGAACATGCAACGATTACGATTACGATTGCAAACCATACGCACGAAAGAAGATGGCGGGCAAGAAAACCAGATTGAGAAGGTCAGCATCAGACTGGGCTGCGCCGGACTGGCGCCGGATTGGAATTCACAGGAGACTGATGCCAGATTGGCCCCGGCGCCTCAATCCAACCTGACCGGCTGACCTTCGACTACCCAGGATAAGGATACCTTCGATAAGGAACCCACGGTAACGCGACCGATGGGCGGCCAAACGTGGGCCACCCACCTCGCCTTCAAACACTAAGGAATGCGCCAGGGTCTGGGCCCTGAGAAGACGTTCCTTATCCCATGCCGCCGGCGTGTCAACCGGCACCCCACGCCGCTTCCGGACGACCCCGACGGCCCTCCCCGACGACTGCCAACGGCTCCCCCCCGACGCCCACCGCCCGCTCTACCGCTACGCCCGCGCCGCCTGGTCGGCGTCGGCGCCCGAAGGCCCGCAGCCTCGTCGCGGATGGCCCTGGTTTCCCCACCCCTGGCATGGCCTGTCTGCTCGCGGTTGCTTCCCCTCTCCTCCTCTGAGCAGAAGGGAAAACGGCATAAACATAAACGTTTGGCGCTCCGCGCGGAATTCTTGGATCTGCGCTGGACCCCCCTCACTGGGACGCGGAGCGCGCCAGTGGCGGCGCCGGAGGCGCCGCCGGGGGGCCCCAGCGCGGATCCAAGAAATCCGTGCGGAGCGCAAACAGTTCATGATTATGTAGATTTTCCCCATATCCAAAGGATGGGGTTCTTGATATTCTCTGACCGCGCCAGACCCCTCATCATCATCCCTCCCATCCCTCCTCCCTCTGCACTAGACGATGATGATGCGTGTCATGATGATGGCCATGGTATGGTGAGAGTATGATGTGAGTCTGATGGTGATGGTGAGTGATGGATGAGTAGGATGGATGAGTAGGATGATGATGATGCTGCTGCTGCTGATGAAGATGACGATGAGCAGATGATGAGGATGTCTCGAGCTATTTGCGGCTTTGGGCACTCTTAAGGGGGGGCGCCAGGGGTATCTCACGGCCTCCGTTCGCGCCAAAATGGCGGGGATGTCTCAAGCGCTTTGCCTGCTTTGGTTGCGAACATCCTTCGTTTTGAGGATGTCTCGAGCGAGGCGCCTCCTAAAGGGGGCCGCCAGGGGTATCTCACCGTCTCCGTTCGCGCCCAGATTGCGGGGGTTGTCTCAGGCGGTTGGCCTGTCTTGGTCGCGAACATCCTTCGTTTTCGGAGCAGATTTGGAGGATGTCTTGGGCGAGGCGCTCATTGTGGCTCCCCAGGGGGCCAGATGTTGAGGATGTCTGGATCGGTTTGCCTGTTTTGGTGGCCAGACTCGTGGGCATATATTCTCCCCAGGATGCCACAGTAGGCTCCAGCAGGCTCCAGGAGGCCCCAGGAAGCCACACGGAATCCCAGGAGGCACCAGGAGGCCACAGGAAGACTCAAGAGGCCACAGGATGTCCCAAGAGGCCCCAGGAAGCCCCAGGAGGTTTCAGGAGGCCCCAGAAGGCAACAGGAGGCCCCGAGAGGCCCTAGGAGCAGGAGGCCTCAGAAGGCAACAGGAGTGGCTCCAATCCCATGTATTTTACGTATGCTCCCATTGATTGGCCCCCACTTGGAGCACGAATGTGTGATGTTATACGTGTGTTTCAATATATTGTCCTTCTCCTGTGTATACAATCCTGAATGTTTTACGTATGTTCCTATAGATTGGGCCTCCCCTGGGGCACGAATCCTTGGTGTTTCACGTGTGTTCCTATAGATTGCCCTTCTCCTGCGGCTCCGATTCGCAATGTTTTATGTACGTCTGTTCCTATAGATTGGGCCTCTCCTGGGGCACGATTCCTGTCTAGGAGGTCCCAGGAGGCTCCAGGAGGCCCCAGCAGGCCACGCGAGGTTCCAGGAGGCCTCAGGAGGCCACTCGAAGCCCCAAGAGGCCCCAGGAGGCCCCAAAGGGCTCCTTGAGGCCCCAGGAAGCCCCAGGAGGTTTCAGGAGGCCCCAGGAGGCCCCAGGCTCAGGCGTAGAGAGGCGCTCGTACTACTGAGACTCATTCACACTCCAAACCATTCGCAGTTAGACTCATGACCAGACCGTCACAACTCAAGCCCGCTTGTATTCGAAAACTCTTGCGCCTAGACACTCACGGCGGACAGGTCCATGCGAATAGATACACATATGGGGAGCTCCACGCAGCGAAGAATTCTTCTTCGACCTTCCTTCCCTTGAGCAGCCTGCGCGCCTCGCGGGACACGTCCAGAATGCCGGGACCTCCCGCCATGGCGGGCCTTCCGAGGGCGGTGCGGCGACGGCGGCGGCGAGGCGACCGAGGGCGGTGTGTCGGGGACGGCCAAGAGTCCTCCTCCTCCTCCTCCTCCTCCTCCTCCTCCTCCTCCTCCTCCTCCTCCGCAAAGGGCGGAGCGGCCCGCGGCCGGCCGCCGCGCTCTCGGAGCGGGAGGCACCGGGAGAGAGCGGGGAGCACGTTGGCCTCGGGGCCCCCGGCGGGGCCACGGGAGGCCGGCGCGCCGCCACTGGCGACGGCGACATCCCG